TGAGCACATAGTGTAGTGATCAATAGTGAATAAGTACAAGGGAAAAAAAACTCAGGATTCAACCATTTATATAATGTAAAAGCAATGAATTTTTAATGATATATAATCTTTAGAAGTGCAATTTGTTAACACACATCAGTTCAGAGAAAAAATGAATGTGCAAATATAACACCAAAATCACTTAAATTGTGCCCATCATCGTTTCGGAATATTTTCATCATGAAAATCAACAATTCACCAATGAAACTGCTATATATCCATTTGAAAGACCATCTAAGACTTTGCAATCGATGCAAAGGTCAAGAGCATTTATGATGTTATAGCACTAGTCCACTCAAATTTTTACATCCTACTGATATAACATCGGATATTTGTGTATTTAATGAATGATTCCTTCATGAAGAAATACAACTTCGCCCAAATAATCTGCTAGATACGAGGTCAGAGTCTGCTTTAATTCGATGCAGTGTGCATGGAGTAACAGAAAAAAGTTACGTACATAAAACCCTGGCTGGGTAAATGGCATCCATACTTGTGTTGGCTGCAATAGTAAGGTTTTACTACGAGTAAATATCATTAAAAACATATTAAAAGTAATAGATCATTTTCTGTTTTAACACCATCCTTTGCTGTACAGATTCCAGTAAAACTCTCATCATTTAAGCTGAAGATGTTGAATGTAGGTTATTGCCGTAAGAATATCACACTGATCGTCAAGAATTATTCAGTACAGTTAAGTAACAATATGCAAACATTTAGTGACATTGACTGTAAAACATTTAGTGACATTGACTGTAAAACATTTAGTGACATTGACTGTAAAACATTTAGTGACATTGACTGTAAAACATTTAGTGACATTGACTGTAAAACATTTAGTGACATTGACTGTAAAACATTTAGTGACATTGACTGTAAAACATTTAGTGACATTGACTGTAAAACATTTAACTGACACTGATTTTATTACTGTCCACCTTATAATTCCAGAGCTTAAGCAGGACTGAGAATAACATGGCTTTAATCATACCAAGACATTGAGTACTGTAACAAATGTGTAATAAATCCTATGGACTGCTTGCCTGGGGACAAATATGCATTTACAATAAGCATTGTCATTTACCTTAACATTGTGTTGTACTGCCCTATGTGTGTGTCTACTTGATTATGTGTGGTGCTCTTCTGATATTATTTCAGTAAAATATTACATACAGAACTTTGGATATCGGATTGTTCATGCTGTGTTTGTAGTCGTACAATCATGGTTTGAATATTTATGAATGATCACATGTCAACATGTACTGTTTTAAGCTATCTTACATCATGTAAACAACTGTAGTCTTATTTCATTGTGATGTGAAACACTTAAGGTATTTGTCAAAAGAAACACTTGTGAAGTTAACACATCAAGACTTTTGAAAGAAATTTCAGAATTGTATGTCAGTTAAATCATTATGCAGCATTTTCTGTCAAATTGTGCAGGCTACACAGATTTAACTATTGTATGTGTTTTTAAACAATTTTTGTAATAAAGAAAAACAATTATCAATAAATTAAAGGAATGTGTAATGCATGACTTACAGGAATACTAGCTCAACTTCTTTAGAAGGTTGTGTTTTTGTCAAAGTATTGATGGAAGCTATTTGTAAATGTAATATTGCCATTTTGTATGTTTAACTATATTATATAATCAAGAAATAAATCAACTTATGAAGTAATAATGATTGCTTGCTCAAGCTTATTAATCAAGATTATATGTGACAAATTGTGAAGTAAATTAACATGTAGATGTGATGTTATTAATATATGCAGATTTATTACAATATGCTTTAATCCAGGTAGTTTAGATTATTGCTTTTTGTCCTGCTAACATCCAGGGTCATCGAAGAAAGTTCCAGGTTTGGGTGGTGGAGGAAAGCCAGAACCTGCAGCCAGTACCTGGTGACTGCCTCACAAAGGTCTCGAACCAGCAACCAAGAGGTGGAGGGCTAGAGATAAAGATGGTCAGACGCCTTAAACACTTGACCACCCTAGCCCCTTTTAATCCAGTTGTATCATGTATGGGCAATATACCATGAGTATGGTGGTGATATATTAAGGACATTTTCTTCATTTTGTCACATCCTAGAGAGGCACTTACCTCCTTCTGTAAGCCCACTAACATTTAGTATGATTTATGTATAGTTACCCAGCTGAACATTTTATATCATATATCTATTTTAGTCTGGGGTAAATCTAGAGTTCTCTTTCTTCAATAGATGTCCACTGTTGTAACATCATAAAACAACAATGTAGTTGCGACATCATAGACCAACAATGTAGTTGTGACATCATAGAATAACAATGTAGTTGCGACATCATAGAACAATGTAGTTGCGACATCATAGAATAACAATGTAGTTGCGACATCATAGAACAATGTAGTTGCGACATCATAGAATAACAATGAAATAGGTATTCTCTTTTAGTACCTTAAGGGTAAAATTGTGATTGATTTGTATGTCCTGAAGAGGCCCAAAGTAGGGCAAAACTGGTTGACCTTTTAATTAATAACTTGATGAACCTGGCCCCTTTGCCTGTTGTGATTGACTACTACTTACTCGTGTATGGGTAGTTTCTACCTCCTTAAGAAATATCATGTCCATGTTCTAGTTTGATATATTCATAATTTATTCCAGTCAACATTCCTTCCTCTATGAAACATTCAACATTCTATAACATACGGTCATCCCATACCATTATTTACAAAATGTTTTTTAAAGGTCTAAAAAGACTGGAGTACCTATATAAACTGATCTGAAATATTATACTACATGTATAGTATTGATCCTTCCTAAAACCATCATTCCTTAGCAAATAGATTCTATATTAAGAAAATTTTGTGTATTATGTAACACCTATTATCATAGAACTATTCATAGATGTTTTTACTATGTATTCATTTGCATGTCATGTATATATATGTGAACACTTCAGATTTGTCTAAAGTTTCTCTTATGCCTGTGTACCATTAACTTTGTATAATGTGAGGGTATGTGAAGATACCTAGACATATATAACTCATACATGTGTTGTTGATTGACTCCTGGTGATATGTGGAAAGAACACTATAATAGTGTTATTGCTTTACTTAAGATTCCTCAGTATAAATGATTAACACAGAGCTTGTTTTCTTTTTAACTTGATGATGCATTTCGGAAAATAGTTTAACCTACATGGAAAGGTCTGTCATTGTTTTAAAAAGTGAACTTTCTTGTTACTATATACAGGGAAACGTTTGCCCAGGGCGGTTTTTGCCCTCGCCTAAAACTGATCATTTTTGCCTAATGTTAAATTAGCACTAAATTACATTAAACATGTTTTTTAACTTTAGTATCAAAATTTGGCTCACCATATATTTTCACCCTATTGGCAAGAGATAAAACAGTTGAAATTTAAACTGTGATGAAAGTTTCCCTGTATTTAATATTTGATATTGGGGAAACAAAACGGTTTTAGTGGATGTTAACAATGAGGACTTGTGTATTATACCTTGTAAGCTTCAGCTCATACTCAGCAGTTATGTTTGGAGTGCTTACACTTATTTTAACATTAAAGTTAATTTGATGGCAAACTTGTTGTTTTGTTTTTTAATATATATATATACTAAGAGCCTAAGTGAGTGAAATAAATGGTCATGTATTGCTGATGGCATTTCATATCTATGTAAGTTCCCATCAGCTCAGAAATATAAATGGGAAAACAACCAAACTATACACATTGAGGTAAAATGTTTCAGTGGTAGATCTCTGTAACTTTGCACTTTTCAATTCAGTTTGAATATATGTCATTAATATTTCTTTGATTTTCAAAGCAACAGTAAACAGTCCAGGGTAGATAACTCTTTTTAACAATGCAATTTGTTCTGAGGTTTGTTGGTCTGTAACTGCAATGTCACTTGAACTGTAGCAATCTTTTTCCAAAGTGACAATAATAAAGCAAAGTGAACCAGAGGCAGTCATTTGAAAGTTGTCCTTGCTTTACATTCACCACAATACCAACCTATTCTTTGTTGCCTTAATATACAGGAAAAAACACAAACAACCATCAATGATAATAATAGTATTTCCATTGTGAGAAATGGCTCAGAAGTATACATGAATTTGTCTATAAAAAGTTTGTATAGAGGTTTGACCAAGACTACACTGATTTGAATCTATTGTGTGTTCTTTAGGACAAGTGGACATTAACCTCATTACATAGAGACATCAGCTTATCACAATCACAAAATATCGGACATCCACATTAAAGGGAAGTTCAGAAGCAATACCTAATTCATGTTGAATCAGCAAACAGAGAAGTAGGTATGTTATAACAGGTATGGCTTATTGTGTACTACATGCACATCTGATAGAATTATGATAAATATAAAATGTCATTAAGGAGAAACAGGTAAGATGTGGTATTTAATATTATATTGATTACATTGAACACATCAAACCTGTTTTGTTTCCTTTATGACGACATTCTTTTTAAACAAAAAACAAAGTTGGAGTTGCTAAAATTTGTTTAAAAAGTTGCCATTACAATAAAATGCAGAAATTCAATTAAAGCATGAATCCTTCCCTGCCCACAAATTAGCATAAATAGTTGACCAGATCTATAAACAGTAATAGTGGCTGTGAATTTCTGGGTCATAACACAGGAGTTTAAGTATTTTACTACTTAATCTTAAACAAAATTTTATCAGACAACTGAGATCGCAGGTCCAGAAGAGGAGGCAACCTGTTAATCAACAGGTGAATAAATACTGTATGTTTAGTAATATATAGCAGCAGAGGCATTAAAAAAGTTCCATCCCACAGCGTTTGTGATTCCTGAAGAATCTCTGTATACAGAATAGATAACCTAACACTGCAAATTTTCACCTACCAAAGAGGAATTCACAAGATTTTGTGCTACAGTTATATTAGTTTACAGCAGCAATTTATCATTAATACACTAGGTTTTATACATGATGATATATTTATTGCATAAGAATATGAACCTTTATCTGAAGCTTTTACACTTCTGTTAATGAGTAGTTGACATGGTCTCTTAAAATCTTTTAAAAATGTCACAGCCTTTGATAACCTTTATAAAGTGTCACAGTTCCTCAAGGGTCAAGAAGCTAGAGATGGTGCTTGGTATTCCTCTAGTTGTTCAAACATGCGAGTAGTAGATAAAAGTTTCAATTCAAATTTGTCTATTCCCTCTTCCAAACTTCCCTTCTGCACAATTCTCACATTTTCTGTGTTTGCCTGTAAAGATAAAAGTCAACATTGAATTTGATTTCAAGATTGATGTGAGTAGAGTTACAAACACATGATTTCAATGTTTTTTTCCTCTGAATTTCACATTAGGTATTACTGTAAACAAAATCTAGTACAGATGCTCACTGGAATCACATTTTCATGATGCAAATCTAATTTATAAATTAACAATTTGATTGATTCACAATAATTTGTATCATCAGTTTAATCAATTTTTATCAGAGATAAAATGTGTTTCATTTTAAAACGTCAATAATGACCTTCATATTTGATCTCTGTAACTATCCTTTCTTTTATTGAATTTCACAGACATTTAACGCCAACTTTTGAAAGTAAACTGAAACAACAAATCAAATATGAACACTTACCAACATCAAAGTTGACAGAAATAATCTACATATTTCGAATGATGGCTTGCCGGCAGCAACACATTTAAATGGAACAATCTTGTCATTAGTCAGATTATCTAAAACCTTGGTCCCATACTTGTTGATATCAAAAGGCTCGTGTGTTTCCTGTGAAGAAAGTGAAAAACTACATTTAGTGGAATGGAATAACTTCAATATCTCAGCTTAATTATTCCTTGATGTCTTGGGTTAACAATCTCATGATATTTCAGCTAAACCATTCCCGGATATCTCAGTTTTAACTCACTTTTAACAAAGCAGAAATGAATTCCTGAAAACCCAGACAGCTTTTCTATTGGAATAGTAAAACTGAAATTCCCATGAAACAATATGAATACCAACCTCCTCTTCTAGTTTGGGTATGACCTTGTCTTCCCATTCAGCCACTCTTTGTGACAGCTCTGTTATCTGGGCGTATTCCTGAGCACTTGCCATGTACTGCTCCTATTAACAAAAAGATAAAATTTCATTAACCAAATATCTGTGAGATAGGTCACATGAATGACTCCACTCTCATTCATATAGGTATCAATGTTTGACAAATTAGTCATTAGTAACTGTGACCTTAGAACACAGTTTCAAAAAAATCCTCTAAGTTTTAGTTGAAGTTGATCTTTGTAGCAAGTTTCATCACAATCTCTAAAGAAGTTGCTAGAATGATGACAACAATACCCCCCCACCATTTCTAGGAAATATTGCAACTTGTATCCAGTAGTGACATGTTGATGTGTTTTGTGTTGGTGATGATATGATGACTTACCACATGCTGTCTAACAAGCTCCTCATAATCAGTAACAATTTCTCCGATTTTAAACGCTCCTGATTCTGAAATAACAATGACAGAATGATACAATTTATTAATCATAGCTTTTCAAAACACTGTAAAGACCACATCAGTTGGTAACAAGGCAAAGGACAAGGATTTTATATACTGACCTAAGATGTGTAATGTTGTGTTTATAGTAAAAATGTTTTAGATTACCAGAGAACATATAAATTTACCTGATTTGCTGAGTGATATTGTGTTAATAGCGAGACATTTAAGATTATCTAAGAAATTGGAACTTTACCTGACCGGCTGGGTGAAGCTGGAAAAACAGGCTGATCTGAGAAGGCTGATTCAATAGCGTTAAATAGATTTTCATCTACCAACGGAGCATCATTGTCTATGTCATCACCGTCGTCTAACCTGTCCATCCCTATATCTGTAACATATTATTTCTGTTTTACTCTTCTGAGTTACCGTGTTATAATCACTTACTTAAAATCAAAAGTCAATATTACACCTGTGAGTTGACTTGGAAGGAATAAGTAAGTTTTAGGTAAGTGGTGTTTAATGCTTATTAATTACTGTAACAGATATAAGTTTAAATTAATGAAGTTCTGAAGTAACTGGTGTGAAATTTGAACACCCCTATAATTAAATAAGTACTCACCAATGTCAGATTCAAATATCCTCACAAACAAACTGAGAAAGATTTAACATAACTATAAATAATGACCAATGTTGTCCAAAGAGATTCTTAAACCACTATACTGACCTGTGTTGTCTGAAAAGATTTTTACACCCCTATAGACACTAACCTGTGTTGTATGATATAATTTTTACAACCCTCTAGATACTGACCTATGTTGTCAGGCTGGTCATTCTGGTTGACTTCCTCATCCTCCTGGTCCTCTTCCAACACCTCACGGCTCTGTGCGACACAAAACTTCATTAAAACTCTAGTTAAAACTGCCCAGCATTACTCTCAGATCAGGTCTATTGACTACACCAATTATTATTTATCATATGTGTCCTTATTACAGAGTGGAGATAAATTGGACTGAAAACTTCCTTCATTAACTGTTACTCAAAGAAAAGACACTTCCTGTACATCAGTATCTGTTATGAGAACAAGCAAAAAGGCTTAGCAACCAACTAAATATAGCAAAGTGATTCATGTCTCCTGTGGAGTCATTACATTAAAGAAAACCCATCAAATAGCTGGTCTTCTTAAACATTAGTGTAGAGACTAGAAAAACAATAATCTGATTGATCTGACCTTGCTGTGATCTTTGGATTAAAGATCCAGAACTGTACCTAACAGATGTTCCAGTAATGATATGTCAGTTTATACAACAGTGTGAACAATATATGACTAAAATTCAGAGATATAGTATAGTAGAAACATCGGATATTATTTAGGCATTTCATTACCTCCAACATTTCTTTGTTAAATTTATATGTACTTGAGGGCAACCAGCATTGATATATGTACATGTATAGTAATGAATGAAAGATGGGGTATGTGTAACAAGGAGTGTGTGTGGGGATGTGAGGGTGTGTGTGGTTGTGAGGGTGTGTGGGGGATGTGAGGGTGTGTGGGGGATGTGATGTGTGGGAACAGGGAGGTGGTGTGTGTGTGGAGGGTGTGTGGGGGATGTGAGGATGTGTGGGGGATGTGAGGGTGTGTGTGGATGTGAGGGTGTGTGGGGGATGTGAGGGTGTGTGGGCGATGTGAGGGTGTGTGAGGATGTGTTATTGAAGGTGAAAGGGTATGTACTATTGTATAGGCGTCTTTGAGTTTTAAACTGTATGTTGTATGATAATTAAAGAAAGCTGACCTTGTAAACATGGTTATGCTAAAACTGTTTGATATAATGTATCATTTTATATTTTTGTAATGTCTATTTATAACAACATAAAAAACTAAATAAAATAAATAAATAAAAGATAAAGAAAAAGACAGAAATACTGATTTACCACAGATTTTCTCTGTTCTCTCAGAAGCCGTTGTCTCCTCTTGTATTCTATCCAGTACTGCTGCTCAAATTCAACAAGAACTGGTACTTTCCTTGGGTTCTTTGGAAACTTGCTTTTGTGTGAAACTACAAATCATAACAATAACAATAATAATTCATTTTTCACAGTGATAAATTTGAAACTTCCAGATTATCCCATCTTATTTTTAGCACACCTATTTCAAATTTACCAAAAGGTTCAAAGAAATAAGCAGAAAATAATGGAAAATTCACCATCTTAATTAAAGTAGTAATTAAAGAATATTTTATAATTTCACTAAAACTTGTTTTATTCTACAAAAGTAGTTTGAGTTTAAACACATATTATCAATATTTCACGAAAATACAACTTATTTTAACTTCATTTGAAATTTAAATGTTCTCACATGTTTCTGTGATAAACTCGGACAGGGGCTGAAGCTTTGGTTTTTTCAATGGTGCTTTTCTCTTTCTTTTCTTTGAATTGACATCCTGTACACATTCAGGTATTTTAAAGGTTTTACCTGAAAAAATGACAACATGATTTTAACATGATCCAAAACTACTGGAAAAGTGTTTTAATGCAATAAGGTTTTCAATTTTAGAAAAGAAACAAAAAAGAGGTTAGATGGACTTACACATACATATCCATCAGAACCACCTGAAACAGTCGAACGTCACTTTCATTCTTTCATTCACAATCAAAATCTAATCATGTGTAGAACTTGAGGTTACACTATACCATAACGTAAATATAAATTGAATCTATTGTTTCTGACAACTTACTTTTCAACATGTTTTAATTCATCACATAAAGTAATAAAGACTAAGTCATGGTTCCCCATAACATCTTCCCATTGTTAAAACATACACATGGTGTGACACTTTAAGTTTGATTTATAGTCTTTTTGCAATTAAAATTTTTCTGGCTGGTCACAAAATTGAACTTGCACAACTAGGGACTTACAGAACTCATTTATCAAATTTGACAGAGATCTACCCCCAAATTTCTATGAAAAAGTGATAGCAAGAATGAATAAGAACAAACATTAATCAAACCATCGATGAAGGACCATTTGAGCATTCCACAATTTGATGATGGTGGGTTAAAAATATACTTGTTATTGGAGTAACTAGGGTCTACTATATAACTGAAATTATTTCTTAAAGCTTACTTTTCTTAAAAGCTTTTTCTGTTTGTGTTGCTGCTTCATGTTGATCAATTGGATCCCAGGCATCAACATTCTGTCAAATATAGGTTAAACATATATATCAAATTTCTGTCAAATATAGGTTAAACATATATATAAAAATTCTGTCAAATATAGGTTAAACATATATATAAAAATTCTGTCAAATATTGGTTAAACATATATATATATATAGGTTAAACATATATATCAAAATGTCACTTTGGTATCAAACTGTATTATATTCAAGAAAAAATATCAGAAATTGTCAGAATCCTGAAAATGGAATTGCTCAAGGTTCTAAACATCATATTAAAGTTATAAAGAATTCTGTCAAGAACAAAATTTTCAAGACACTATCACTAGAGATGACTATTGAGGCCAAAAAAGTTATCATAACCATGATAGTCAAGTGACTATTGCGATACTATCAGGACAGTTTTCAATTTAAAATGTGTCTTTTCTAACCCAGAAATAAAGGTCACCAACCAATTTAATGTATCAGTATGCTCAATTTAGCAAGAATTGAAAAAAAATATTTAAAATTTTCATACAATCAAGTAGGTTGCACAGTGATATTTGTTACACTTTTTTTCCCTTAGTATTCATCTTATACATAAACAAGAATATATATATAGGCCTAGTAACACAAGGATAATATAGCTATTTACCAAATGAAGGTGCCTGTACTTTCACAAACAGGAGGGTAATTGTGATCAGTTTTGAGACATATTGTTATTAATTTTCACGTAACCAAACTGCTGCCCTACCAATGTGTTTGTCGTTTTATTGGCATGGGAAAAATTATAAAATGCCACTACCTCCTGCCATGTTATATCAAATTGGTCATTTCAGGGATGGGTCTAAAACATGGACCTACGGTTAGTTACCATCCTCCTTACTACAATTTGTAGATGTAATTTAATCTTATCAGAAACAATTACAATGTAACACTTATTCAAGATATATAACCTCATCATTGTAACTACTTGTGCTTAAAATTCTGTCTCCTTTCTCAGCAGGTGATTGATTGTGTCTTGGAACATTAGCACTACTCCCATTTGAGGTACCAAAACTGTTTTCATAAATAAACGAAGGTTTGCAGCCATTTGGCAATAACTCCGTCAAGAATCTTGTTTTCAAAAAGTATTTTTGTTTAGTTTTAAAAACTACCATTAACAATCAATAGTTGACCAAACTATCACTATAATTATTGACTTGAAAATAAGCTATCGACCTATTGCCATCGAGCAAAGCTATCGCAATACATCGATAAGTCAACCTATTGTTACAACACTACTATAAACATACAAATTTTAACATTTTTCGTACTGAGAGGATTGGACATAAACATGATTGTGCTAATTACAATTATTGAATGTTGTTTATGTAGCAATCATTGTGGACGTGCTTGGGGTTAATTTACCATAAAAACGATAATACACTAAAATTTGACAGCATCAAATAAGGTATTATTACAGTAGCTGTCTCATTTTGTTAACTTCAGTACGAATTTCTAATATACATACAGGTTTAGGTGGTACAACTCGCACTGTCTTGGGACGTCTTTCTGATCGTCGTATCTCTTGAGGTTCTACATCCTAAAATATTAAGTGGCAATTAATGACAACATACAAAGCTGTAGTTTAGGATTTCAGTGTATCAGTTTACATCTGTTTTAAGCAAACTTAAATATCAACCACAAATATCACAACTAGGTTTCTATTCCCATAAAACATTAATTCAACAGTTATATTACTTTCAATGTATCTATTCATTAGAGCAGCAAGTTTTTACATTATTTCTTCTGCCCTTTGATGATATTAATCATAACTTATTAACTCAAAACAAATGTTTATTTCATTCAAAGCAATAACAAAAGCCAATCAAAGGACAAATGAAAGGTAAGATGAAAGTCTTACTGGTGCTTCTGTTTCCAAAGGAGGGACATCACTTTCTGCAGGAGCTCCATCCACTTCATCATTAGGTACATCAATCAATGGTTCATTTTCATTGTCATCGTCTGGGTAAAAATTGAATAAACTTAAAACATTATTTCGAAACTTAAAGATGAATAAAATGCCATAGGATCTGAGTTTGTATTTGAACAAATACAAGCCTAATCAATTTTCAAGTTCAACAGTAAAAATTCTAAACATGTCTGAAAAGACTTGTCTGGAAGCAACCTGTCTAAACTTCAACTTATATCAATTTGAGAGAGGTAAACGATAAACTGGAGACAGAGATAAACAGAAAACTAGAGACGGTTAAATGGAAAACTAGAGACGGTTAAATGGAAAACTAGAGACAGGTAAGCTGTGAACTAGAGACAGGGGTAAATGGTAAACTAGATAGATGTAAATGGAAAACTAGAGACAGGTGAGCTGTGAACTAGAGACAGGGTAAATGGTAATCTAGAGATAGAGATAAACAGTAAACTAGAGACAGATAATCAGTAATCTAGAGATAGAGATAAACAGTAATCTAGAGACAGTTAAATGGAAAAAATGAGATAGGTAAGCTGTGAACTAGAGACAGGTGTAAATGGTAAACTAGAGACGGTAATCAGTAATCTAAAGACAGAGGTAACGTTAAACTAGAGACAGAGGTAACGTTAAACTAGAGACAGAGGTAACGTTAAACTAGAGACAGATAATCAGTAATCTAGAGATAGAGGTAAACTGTAAACTAGAGACATAGGCAAAGGGTAAACTACAGACAGGGGTAAATGACTCTACAGACATAGGTAAACAGTAAACTAAAGATAGAGCATCATCGCACTATATGGATTGGTGTGTTAAATATTTAACGCCAATTTTGTTATATGGAATCAAGGAACAAACCTCCAGATGGATCATCCATGGCCATTGGTACATCTTCAGATACTGGTGGTTCTATAACAGTCTCCTGTGGGATATCTGCAGACAGATTAAAATGAATTATTTAAGTTCTATTTTAGGCCAATTAAGTTTTGTCCAACGTACTTTAGCAGGAGAAAAACAAACTAAGCTGAGCCAAGACATTCACTTTGCAGTGATGAGGCAGTCAAACTGACTAACAATTCAGCACACTGACTAACATTTCACTATACAAACAAACATTTCACGACACTGAAATTCTGCAACATTAACAATTGATCACACTTACATTTTACAACACACTAACTAACATTTTAGTACAATGACAAACATTTTACTATATTGACTAACATTTCACAATACTACCATTTCATTACACTTATCATTTTACGACGCAAACATTTCACGACGCTAATATTTCACTTAACAGACCAACATTTCACACATAAACATTTCAAAACACTTACATTTAATAGCAAACATTTTACTATATTGACTTACATTTCACAACACTAACATTTTTACTGATCAACACACTTGACCTTATCACTGCCGCACCTGAACATACACCTTATTGTTGAATAAACTGGCAGTCACCTCAACAGCCTTTTTATTGAATCATCTGTCAGTAACATGGAAATCATGTTGACTGGCTTCAATACTTGATATCTACCTTTAATCTTACTGGCTTGCCTACTTGATTTATACCTTTGACTATGGAGTGACAAGGCAGCCGTGTTGACAGACTTCAATACATCTACGTTCAATCTTACTGACTTGCCTACCTGACCGATGCCCTTGACTATGTAGTGATGAGGCAGCCATATTGATTGACTTGTCTATGAGAGTATAGTGGTACAAATCCAGCAGCAGTATCCCTGATTGGTGGACAGAGCTCGTGTTCATCCTGAAGTCATTCCTACTGGCAAGGACTTCACCTGTTTTACTGCAAACGTCATCATAATATCAGGAATATGGCTTTATGTTCAAGTACATTTATTAACAATCTGTTAACCAATTTGAATGAAAGTTGATTTAGTTAAATTTCACCCAAAAGACAAACTCCAACAAAAATGAAATTAAGCATCATGTTGAGCTTATGTGTGCAAAATCATGTTTAAATTCAACAATGTATTCTATTATATTTACTAATATTTATCTTAAATGTCTCTAAAAAATAATTACGTTTGTAGGAAAGTTTTAATGAGGAATATTAATTAACTATCTCTCATAGTATTCAAATACAACCTAGGCAAAAATCTCCGCGCAAGGGAGACACCTGCAAGATAGGCAGTTGTAATTTTTCTTCCCTACTTAACAGACTTACCTGAGGAGTGGGTTGTCCCCTTTCTCCCCATCTTCTAGAGGAATCAGGCAGAGAGGCATGTGGGGCATGGGCTCAACAAACTGTAAGAAAATATGTACCATAAGGATCACAAATTTATAAAACCTCATTATTCCTCTCTGGGTTTACAAGTTAAAATCATCAGCCCTACCATAACAATGCTTTCTTTTATCTGATCAATCATATCAATAACATAAGAAATTTATGAAAATTTTATTTTGAGAAAAATGTGAGGAAAGAATAAACCGGAAAAAATTACTATATGTGCTTAAAAGTAGGTGTACTTGTAGTAGGTAGTTTGTGAAACTTAAACAAAATACCTCATGGGTCATTTTTACACTTCTATACCCAATACATTTACTGTATTATATCTACCTTACATCCGTAGCTGTCTTCCTTGATCCAGATGTTGTTATGTTCTTGGATGTCATCCAGACTAAGAAACTGCCAAATTAAAGAATAGTTTTGTATTTCTAATACAGGTACTGTATAGTTCTCTATATTACCTGTACAGTATATCAAGGAATACATGTATAGCTGACTACAGAGCACAGCATAATTCATAATATAGATAATTACCTCATCGGTGCCGTCATTAAAATTTGCATCCTCGTCATTTCCATCTGCATCAATCGAGGAGACTTTAGCTTGTTTTCTGTACATAGACAAATGTCAAGAGACTTTGAAGTATTATGAAGAAGAAAAAATGTTAAAAAAGAACATTGGAAGACACAACATTGAATTATGCCATATGACGACAAAAAAAAAGTAACAAACAAACAAACAAATAAAAAAAAATTAGTCTGTATTCATATAAAAAGAAATTTTATTTATTATCTATGACAAAGATTTGAACTACAAAATTAACACCAACACTGATTTCAGATAGAGATGTCTTACTTTTTATTGGCAAGTAAATCAAGGACCTGGTGTACCAAAGTGTATAGATATTCCACCTGAAATGATATTTACATATAATTATTAACAAGTAATTCACATGCTTTATTAAGCCCATGTGCAGCTGATGGGAGCTTCAGAAAGATTTCACTTTTAACTGCATCAACATAAAATGACAGGCTAGGTTTATCCATTCTCAAATTTGAACAAACATTCCCTGATCTAGCATAAATGTGATGGTCTATTATCACCTACCTTTTTACTGTAAACACAGGCAGAACCCTGAATGACCATGGCTGCCTCAGCAAAGTTCATTGTAACAAGTCCTCCATCAAAGGCCACTGTGATGTGCTCCAGCTATGTAAGACATAAATACCTGGATATTCAAAATGTTATAAGACAGACTGACAACCAGTGTATTGATGCTTAAATATATTTCCTAAACACATTTTTGGGGGCAATATTGTATCTTATTCTGATAATGCTTTTATAAATGGATTCCAATTTCCAATTTATGCAACAATATTTAATGTTATTAACATTTCTTGGGAACTGAAGAGATTTTGTATCACCAAAAATATAATACGCTTCCTGATTATTGGTAAATTTCATCAGGTTACATATTATACCAAATGACAGTTAAATGTAGAGTAGAATGTCAGGCAAATGAAATTTCAGAATCCATATACCGATTATCCTGATGTCTACAGATGATATCTCAAATGTTTTTTTAAATTCATTAAAGCAGCAATTCTGAACATTCTGGGTCTGTTTTATTTATATTTCAGATAAATCCATTAAAATTAAACTGTCATACATGCATTTGCGTTATTTTCTGAAGTAAAAAAATAACACTTTTAATGAAAACTAGTCTTTAGTTGTACCTCCTCTAAGTAATCCTCCAGATTACCAGCAATGTCTACATCCCAGTTCTTGGTGAGGTCACGGATAGGTTGGAGCATAGAACAAAACTTTGCCATAGCATCAATGTTCTGGGTTTGTGATTGTTGGACAACCATGATTGAACCTGAAATATAATACCATCTTTCATTTTATATATCTTGATATTTTAACTTGACAATACATACACATACTGTACTTCTGAAATCTTTTTATCAACTTTGGAAACTGGAGCCAACTTTAAAAAGAAGAAGTTGTGTAAAGTATGCATCTCTGAGATTATCATTTATTTATTGGACATGGTAACTGTCATATCTATTATTAACAAATAGGCATGACTTTAACTGGTGGAACTCTTTATGTTTACATTTCCTCTTGGTGTGCTCATTTACACAACACAGAATTTGAAAGAATCATTATCTAAAAAAGTCATTTGTTTCCTATGCATTAGAAATATTTTTTGGGTGCTGTTCAATCTATACCTGGGGCACTACTTTACACACATATAAATCTAGAAGTGTCCATCTGAAGTTAAACCATGTAAATTTCAACTTCCTTTCTTACACTAGTTGTGACTGTGACCAGTCCTGATTTCAAGTAATGTATGTAGTTGGCAATGGACACCAGGGGAGAAGACAGAAACAGGACATATATTCATAATGCACTCCAAGAACCATTACATGTGCATTAAAGAGGTGGTTTAGAAGCATACATGCTTAACTGACATAAGATTAGGTAAATCAGTAGACTAACGGTCAACGTATTTTACCTTGTGTGGATGTACCTAATTAATAAGATAGTAAAAAGTAAACCAGCTGATGTCCCCTGGTGATCCAGTAACGGCAAACCGCATATGATCAGGTCACGTTTAAGCATACAAGTAAGCCGATCAGCTTGACATAGGGAGACACTGACATTCTTAAACTATTGCAAACATTTTGTTAACAGAGAGAACAAATATTTTTGTGTTTGAAGAAGACTTAATGCAGCTCTTACGTCCCAGTATCTGAATCTCGCGCGTTTTGTAAACAAAACTTCAAGAATTGAGAAATAATATTTAATTCGCTCAATTCAGTGAAAAGTAGTCCAATTAAGGAAATGTGGACCAATCGGTAGAAGGGTAACATCCATCTGTTTCAATTAAAATATTAACATACATATCACTACACAACATATTAGTGGCATTGATTATTATAATATATAAAAATGATATTAAAACAAATAAACATTATTATTTGTGATTTGACATTAGTTTTTGTGAAACCACAGCATCCGAAATGACATCAGAATTCGCAGAACTACATGGCGGATTTAGTTCCTGCCGGGGTGTTCCAAGGCACTTCCACCGCCGAGAGAGTATGATTGAATGAGACTCGCTGACTATTTACTTTTACATTTTACCTGTTGGAAGAGTTGAAAATGACGAGCGGTATAAGCTATACTAGAGATGTGTTCCTCTGGGGCATATCTGGAGTCTATCTCATGGCGTTTGCATCTCTTTATGTGCAGATACCTGGTATGAAGTACAAAAGAGTATCTATGAAAAATACACATCTCATGATCTAGATAAGTAAATTGATATGGCACTTAGGAATGACTGGCGTTCATTCGTCCTCTGTTGCTACAACGTAGTTACTTGCAATGTGCAAGACTTTCCAAACACAAGTTCAACTAAACCGGTTTATTCTTTCAATTTTCCAGCATGAAGACAGCTATCAATAGGTTACACTGAAAAATATAACCGACATGTTTCCCTCAAAACGAGTACCATCTAGCAGAATCCTTTCACCAGAAGTTCTCTATAAAACACAGGGACATGTATAGTCTTAAATCCTGGAGTCAGTTTTCAGTCATCATTTCTCTATTACCCTCCAGGTGTTCCAGTTAATGATTTGGTTGTAAATATTGGTATGGACTGTGAACGCTGCAATTATGATATTTTTTTTCTGATGTTTTCCTGTGTATACTTAATTTTCCATTGTTACTATGTAGTTCTGATATTCCAGTTTTGAATGTCTGTTTGTGTTGAAGATAAACATATTCTATCATGTATCTAAAGGAAGAAGTGTGATAAATGATAGTATTAAAGTCTAGCTGTCATTCAGTTTTAACAGTACCATCAATTAACATACAGCAACAGTAACATTAAAGGATGAATCATGTAAAAGATGGTCCTAAATGCTCAGAGCTTATCCCTGTACAATGACCAGGTTAGGAATTAGTCATCAATATCAACCTCCCACTCTTAGTGAAGTGATCTTTGACATATATCTGTAAGCTTTATGATTACCTGATGTTACTTTATGTTGTTTCTGCCAGTAGGACCTACTGGTCCTTTCAGACAGCTCAGAATGGTCCGTTAATGCTGGGTATCTGGTCCATAGCTAGCTGTGTGGTCAAACCAGAGTGGATGGTTTTCCCAGGGCTTATCAAGTCTGTTTTTAAACTGGTTTGCTTAGTTAGCCGAGATTACCAGTACTTGTTGCGGAAGACTGTTCCATGTGTCAACAATGTGAAAAAATGTATTTCCTGATGTCTTAGGTGCAAGGCTACTGGGACATTTTGAGCAAATTTCCCCATGTGTTGCTGGCCATATTTAACTGCACCAGTTTCTCTGTGATGCACATGTATCTTTATTGTATTTATACAGGAACCAGCAATTTTTAACACATTGTGTGTTGACGGTACCATATGTAACAGAGGTCATTAATTATTTCAATGCCTCCGCTAGGAATCAAACCCGCGACCCCTGGCTTACTAGTCTGACACTCAACCAATCGAGCTAAAGAGAAGTTCTCCCTAACCTAGTGATATTTTGCAGCTAGTATTTTACCAGGGTTACACATACAAAGTTAATGATATACCTTACATTGATATTTTATGTAACAAATTAGTTTTACTGTACCAATAAATTTGTAATTTATGTTTATTTATAGAACTACAAAATTTGAGTAAATATGAAATCCTTAGAGCCACATTGTCTTTTTTTTCTTTTCTCTTTTTTAAAATTTTGTTTTGTTTTGCTTTCTTTTGAAACAGACCCCCAAAATTCCCAACATTTACTGATTTAGTTATAAATACTGTGTTTGAATATGGCATTTTATTCCTGAGTCATTTTTTATTAATTAGTAAACCATTTAAAGATGGATTTTTGGCAATAATTAGCATGATCAATACTTTATGATCATTTCATATTTGTATGTTATAGAAATAGCTTTACTTGCCTTATGAACTTATTGCATTAAGAGATTGTGTTCCTTGATACTTGGGCTGATTCCCCCAAAATGTTTTGTTCTACAAACTGGTATTATTTCTTCGGTCATATACATTATAAAATCATGCAACCAATAAAAGCGTTTGGATATTTTGAAAATATCAGATCACATATACACTATGGTTAAAACTTGTAGAAAATATTGTATTTATGCATTTGATATACCATGTACATATTTTAGTTGATTTTGTTTTCTGTTGGTATAGGTTTGTATGGAGAAAATGGAATATTACCTGCAAAACTTGTTCTACAAGAAAGTATGTACATGTATAAAATGACTGTTACAATTATTTGATATCCACTCATTAGTTTTTGTTACCAAAGTTGTCTTTATTCATAAGTGATTATGCTTCTCAAATAATTGCATTAAAGTTATACAAAAATGTTTTTCAAGTTTGTAAAATGTTTAATTTAATTTTGATTTAAGTATATACTAGTTAATGAATTTAGTTTATTTGAAATTTTTGCATCAACTTGATTTTTTTTCTAGAGATAGATTCAATAGAAAAACTCTTGGATGGAGCTCCAACTTTGATGAAGTTGACCCCACACCTTGGTCTAAATGCACAGGAAGGGATGGATCTCTTGTGCCTAATGGGAATGTTGGTGTCCTTCCTTAGTCTGGTGTTCAGTGTGGCACGGGACACTGTCGCCTACCCAATCCTATGGATGTTATACCTGTCTCTGTACCAGGTATGTCTTAATCAAGTGTCTTTCATAACATCATGGTCTGACTTGCATTGAAACAAAACAATTTGAACAATGACATGGTCAGATCATAATGTCGGCTATCAGTTATGACCTTATGCATTGTGAAAGAAAGCTGATAACTGAATTAAGTATCAAAGGTGTCAGTATTCATAAAAAGTCACAACATTTAAGACAAATCTAAGAAATTAAAACTGGAGTACAAGAATTACAGTCATGATGTTAACAATTTACAAATACTTCTTGCCGAAAAATTATCTTAGAATGATGTGGTAAGTCCATTGTATTGTTACATATATGTGCTGTAAAAATACAAAAATGTTTTTCATGAAAAAGGAAAGTCAGCTTTAAGTTTCACTTATAAAACTGAACAAATCTAGTGAGGATTGTATGATGTAGATATAGTCCTTCTTAATGTGCATAGGGATATTGTTTATATCAATGTGGATGTTTATATCTTCCTGATAGATTGGTATGATGTTTATATCTTCCTGGAAAATATGTATGATGGTATATCTTCCTAGTAAATGTTAGATGTTTATGTCTTCCTAGTAAATGTCAGATGTTTATATCTTCCTAGTAAATAAGAATGATGTTTATATTTTCCTGGTAAATATGTATGATATTGACATCTTCCTGGTAAACAAGTATGATGTCTATATCTTCCTGGTAAATATATATGATGTTTATATCTTCCTGGTAAATAAGCATGATGATATATCTTCCTGGTAAATATATATGATGTTTATATCTTCCTGATAAATATGTGCAATGTTTATATGGTCCTGGTAAATATACATAATATTTTATGATTTCAGGTAGGACAGACTTTTTTGTGGTTTCAATGGTAAGGGACTGATACTCATTCATTTCAATTCTTTTTTCTTCCTTTGTTATCTTCATTCATTTATTCACAAGCTTCAGATTATACAAAGTCTGCTGTTAATGGATGACAGTATTTCACAAAATTCAGTGTTAATAATTTTCTGATAAATCTTATGACAATTGGATAACTTAAATAATGTCAGTAATAGGTTATTTAATGATTATATCAAGTGTATGGTAATTGAATTATATATTAAAACCTTGTTAACTATTTTATTTTGTTTATTGAAAAGATTATAATTTTGCTGGTTAAAAGAACTTATTTGAGAGTTTTGCTCTGCATGTTTACGAATATTTTTTTTTCAATCATTTATAATTTATATTATTGCCTTAAAACGTTAATGACAAGCTAAAACACTGAAATTGTTTATGTTAAGGAGAGAACTTCTACAAAGATTTCTTTGATTTTCCAGGGATATTTTACTCCTGGAGGCAGGATTTCTGGCCATCTTAGTAGCTCCACTTAATCTTCAGTTACCAAAGAAATGGAGGATGTCCCCATACCACCAGCATGATAGCATCACACTGTGGTTGATACGCTGGCTCCTCTTTCGTCTCATGTTTGCTTCAGGAGTGGTGAAGCTGACCAGTAAATGTCCAACATGGTGGGGGCTAACAGGTACAGTTGTCTGTTGTTAATAAAGGTATAGAGTATCTCTGATGGCAATTCTTTTGTTGTGAAGTATTATAAGAAACCTGTAGGATGTCAGTAAATTTGTATCTTGAACAAGCTACTTTGTTAAAATGATTATAATAGTTGATGTCAATATATTAATTTGTGTTGCATACCTGGGGTGACATAAAATTGAAGTTTAGAATTATCTCCCCTTTGATTAGTTAAATAATGCTGAGAGAATAAACCCAATATGTTTTGTTCCTGTGTATTTCATTGGCATTTTATTTTTCTGTTTCAGCTCTGTCTGTTCATTTTGAATCTCAGGTGAGTTATTGGTGTAATTTTATTGTTGGTTTGGTTGTACAAGTAACACTACATTTTTCTGTCAGCTGCTGTGTCAAGATAATGGAACTATATGTATATGTGGACAACTTTCCCAGTGGACAAAACTGTCAGTAGTTACATGTTATCCTTGAAATATAGGTCAGCACTGATTTGAGGGGAAAAGCAATTACAGCCTGAGTGAATACTAATTTGTGGCAGGTTTGTGTGCCTTGGCAGATAGGCTCAGCCATGATGTAAGCTTAGAGACAGGGATGCAACATTATTTATACCAATGTTTGTGAAAACATAGCATCACAATATGTAACCTAGATCAGTCCCAGAATAAATCTGTATCAATTGTGATGGATTTTCAAATGATTGAGACCAATAACAATGTATATGACAATTTTATACCACACATTAGATGACAGATTTGTCTGTGCCTCCTATTCCTAGTTAATTTACATGTAATTGTCTCAATCACCCAGCACATTGTTGGTATCTTGGTTTAGGTGATGGACATTTGTCTAACCTCAAGGAACCAGACATCACTGTTTGACTTGTGTTATAATTATTTGTGTTGCCTGTTTCAGTGTATTCCAACACCTCTTGCCTGGTGGTGGCATCAACTTCCTCTGTGGTTCCTCAAGCTCAGCTGTGTGGCCACCTACATGATTGAGATCCCCGTCCCTTTCCTCTTCTTCTCCCCCATCAGATCCATGAGGATATTTGCATTTTATTGTCAGGTAAGTTGGTCCACTTGTTTAGGTAATCAGTGATCAGAATATTTAGAAAGATTCTCTTAATGATTTCTTTAATTTGGTGATGTATATGTGATAGAAATGTCACAAAAATCTAGAAGATTATGTATGATGTTTCAATGACTTCTCTGTCACCATGATACATTGTGTAGTCACATTTAAAGATTGATAAATGTCCTTTCTTTTCAAAACATTTTATGGCATCACTGTAGCACACTTTGGAGCGTATGTTTACATGGAACTGTGTAGCATTTAATAGTAAGCTGTAAATTTACATACAAAACAGCATAGAGAAATACATCGCCATTGTAGCAGTTTGGTTGGTTTCATTTGGTTCCTGACACATGAACATTGTAAAGAAATAGTTTTACAAATTTTTAGAACAGCTGTTTTATTAGGAACAATGTGGTTTTATAATTAATAAAGTAGTCTTGTATTGTGTTTGTAATGACCTTCATCCCAAAATAGAATATTGAACTTTGGATGAGAAAATTTTAGAACTTGGTGGTACTTGTGATCAACATCACATGTGATTCAGGATTTGTTTTTCTTTTCAATGAGCTCTTTAAACTAATATATCATTCATCTTTCCTTATTTTTGTGTACAACATCCTGGTGTATTAAGTAAAGCCAATGGTGCACAGATCTTTGAGAGAGAAAGGGACATGATCCATTAAATTTGTAATTCACTGTCTCGAGAGGAACTTGATACATAAACCTTGTAATTTATGAATTCTATAGGGACCCATCAACCTAATATACAAATGGAAAACAGATAAGGGAACAAATTTCTACATTTAGATTGTTTAATTTACTAACTCATATGCCTCTATTAAAGGACAATTTGTAAAAGGTGTTTGTTTCTACACAAAAGCAGTAAAATATATCAGTAATACAAACTGTAAAAATATTTCCCATCTTCTATAAAACAGCAGTAAATACATATATAACAAATGATACAAATTAAGTATAAAAATGTACATTGTTTCATTACAAAAAATGTAAAATAAGCTGATATCACAGATTCTGCAAGGGAAAAAGATAAAAAAAGCATATTCATCGTAAAAACATGAATATGATATGAATGGGTAAAACAATCTGTGTTCTTTATTTCTTTTGTTATTTACATTTATCTAATTTGTTATCTTAATAGTCAGTCATGTTTTATGAGGGACATGGAACTTCATCAATAAATCATTTTATCATATAACGTTTCTACATATAATTGATACCAAAAACCATTCAGACAGGATTTATTTGACATTGTTGAGATATGGAAAAGTTTCTAGGTGGTGAGTACACCATTCTGACAAGGGATCATGGAAATCCTTATATGTAACTTATCATTATAGATATATTTCCATTTGTGTACTGAAGTTGTCTATCATCCAAAAAAAATATATGAGGTATTTGTGAGATTTGGCTGTCTCTATTCAAATCTCTTTAATACTATCTTGTCATTTACAGAAGTGTAATTAAAAACTGATAATGAAATGTCACTTAGATATCTTCACCATAAAAAAACAACTTTTCAGCTAAAGACATCATTTGTGTTTTCAGTTAGAGAAGAAAAATTTAAAAAAAACAAGCCAGAACTGTAAAGATATTGTGTTTAAATTGTATTTCAGTTTGTCAAAGTTTAAGCTGTATGTGATATTAAGAACAGTGCTGTTGGATATTTACGTTCAGTCTCAATCTCATTTTTATATGACATGGTAATCAATTGTTACTCACAGGCAACCATTGTATCACTCATTATCATATCTACACAAGATATCCAGTAGAATTTTCTGATACACACATTGTATCACAGCCTCATTTTCATATCTACACAAGATAACCAATAGAATTGTCTGGTATAGGCACTACATCACAGCCTCAGTTTCATATCTACTCATGATAACCACTAGAATTGTTTGATATAGGTATTGTATCACAGCCTCAGTTTCATATCTACACATGATAACCACTAGAATTGTCCTGATTTAGATGTTGTATTACAGCCTCATTTCCAGCTAGCCCATTTACCAATAGAAACACTCTCTAGTATGCTGACTACATCAAAAAATCCTCGTACTCAGTGAATGTTGCCAGACAAGGGAACAAGTTCAAAATTGCAATGGAAAAAAGGAAGGAGTCGGGTCTAATGATTGGTTAACAGGTTACTTAGGTGATGTTACTTTGAGGAGAAAAAAAAAATTTGAAGAGAAAACCCTGACATATTCATGCTTCAAAACGCTCTTCTTGTATCTCCAGTCATAATAATTTGCACCATATTTCACATGCATCTCAAACCTCCAAAACACAAAATTGAATAAATACAAGGTGACCTGACACATCTACTATATCTATCCCTCAGTAAGTTCTTACATCATAATAGACCTACACCTGTCTATTGTAGTTTTAGTAAAAATTACAACAAAAGCTATACCATTGTCCTGTAGTAAGCTTTACCCCCTTACTTTGAACCAGAAGTTTTGTGTTGGGTTCTAAGGTTTGTTGCAGGATAGACATAATAAGTGTGTACACAGTCAGATGATATTTAGTAGACAGATCACCTGTGTTAGATTTACATACTTACCTTATGGTTAATGATCTAACAGATACTACAGAATGGTAAATATACTGACAACAAAGTCAAAGTGAGAACTTTTACTGTGTATCCTTTAGTGATCACATTTATTCTATACTTACTAGCTACATCTAGTGTTTTTATTTTGCCACGAGATTCGTAAATTTTAAAAACTTTTTTTAAGCGTAAATGAAACAATGGTCAGTTAAATAAGAAAAAGTGAAAAATTGTGACAGATAAATGATTTACCATCAACACAAGTCAATGATACCACACTTAACATTGTACCAAAATATCTGGGTATTGAGTCATACCTGTGAGACCGTGCTTATTCAGCTGTAATTAAGGTTATATATTGATATAAATTTTAGATTTAATGATAATGATTACTGATTGATATGTTGATACAACCACTTAGGTTCAATTAAAAGTATCGTCTCCCAGAAATGTTAAATTTTTGACACCATTAGTCTGACATGCTACACATGCTTTATTCCTACTACAGATACCATGGTATTATCAATTGAAAACATATTATACTTACCTTATATTTGGGATACAACTGAACTTCATATGATCCTACAATTTCTGTACTACTTTTTTTTTAGTAGGAACTTTTCAGATATTTTACTGTTGATAATGATATTAGAAAACTTATTAGTCAAGTGTGGTACATCAATGATTTATGTTTTTATGAACTTTGACTTTGTTTTTCTTGTATAACAGATGATATGATGGTCCCACAAGTGTTGCTGTGCTCTGATTTTCCAGGACAAACCCTGAATCCTTGTCACCACATCTGTAATAGTTTGTGTCAAATCTCTGACGATAGATTCTACTCCATCTGTATCATTACCTTGTATTGTAACAGATAAAATGTCTGCCTCAGTCTTGTTATCAGAAGCAAGACGTAGCAGAATCTTATCGTTTTCAGTGGTACACAGAATAGCATCCCGCCAGTCTGCTCGAGTGATCACCACTTCTTGCAGTGCAGCTGATATTCTCTCGAATGTACCATCTGGCAGCTGACTTGGGAACTCGTATGTGAATGACATGACCTTTGTCCCATGGGGCAGCATATCTTGCCAGTGATTCTCCAGGTCTTGCCCCGCCCACTTCTGGCTGTACCACGGTACAACTAGAAGTGGGGTACAGGCATTGCTTCCCATGGGGACAGGAGGTTCAGGCACACTGTAGCAGATGTCTAGGAGTGGCATCAGAACCAGAATGTCATGGAACTGTTCGTAGTCAAGCTGGTGGTAGAACCAAAAACAGTTCAGCATTGGTCGTGACACCTGTCCATGATTCAGAAAGATTTCTACAGAAGCTTCAAAATGCTTTCTGTCAAAGTTACCTTTGCTCATGAACACCTTGTTTTTATGGTAGTTAAAGAATGTGTGGAAATCATGACGATAGATTGTAGTGATAAAATCAACGAGGAGTCGGGGTTTGTGGAAGAGAATCAGAGACATGCCAGGGATGTCGTGGAACCACAACACTTCTCCTATGTCATGCAAGTACATCAAACACTCCTCAAGGTTTTCACCTTTGATATCAAAGGTCAAAGCCATGTCCTTGACTTCTTTCAAACGGAGGTAATAAGACTTCTCCTGCTTGAGTTTGACCTTGAACTTGTTCCAGTGATCCGGTATGCGTCGCTGAGCATGAGGGAACAGAGTCGTATCAATGGCCATGAGTTCTATCTGGTTGATGAGGCTGCTCACTCCAGGCAGTCCCTCCACTGAACTGATGACAGAAATTTCCCGATCAATTTGTACTGGATGTTTGATTAAACTTTCAAGTTTACTTTTTTCTGATTCTAAATGCTGCATGAGATCATTAGGCTTGCTCTCTCCACCTTTTTGTATTTCTGCCTGTATCTGTGTAAGCTGTTGCTGCAGATTTTCTAGGTGGCACTTCTGTTGTTTGTCCACCTCACTTTGAACTATGTCACATGTTGCCTCTTTAACTTCCTCATTCTCGCAAAGGTCAGCTTTAGTACCTACAAGCTTGACCACTGCACCAGGTGTGTGGATATTGAGAAGGTCAAGCCACTGACCTATCATCTCATAATGATTGTCACTAGTATAAGTACTGTGGTCATACATAATGACCACGAGTGACTTAGAATCCAGAAATATAGGATAGCACATCTTGTATGTAGGGTCACCCCCAAAATCATTGATTACAAATTCCACAGAATTCTCTGTTCTCCATATTGTTTGTTCTATAAATCTGGTCTTGCTCACACTCACATCCACTTCACCATTTTGAACAATGGGTTCATCTTCTGACATTTCATCTATTGTCTTTTTGGCTGTTGTAAAATCATCAAGGTGATCATGAATTTCAACATCTTTCTCATCCACGTCATCATTGATCCTCACTAGTGTTTTCCCATCATTATTGACTTCCATGTGTACTTTCTCTTTTTGTGAACCCTCTTGTTCCATTTTGTCCTTGATTTCCTTAATCTCTTTCAGAACTTTCTTTTTCTTCATTTTTTCTTTCTCTTTCTTTTCCTCCTTCAATTTTTTAAGTTTCTTTCGAATTTTCTCCCGTTCTTTTTCTGCCATAAGAGATTTTCCTTGGACAAGACCCCACACAAAATCTGTCTTTCCACACTGTGATTCTCCTAGCACCAACATTTTTTGCCTTTGAAGATTCTCAGTTTTGATGATAGCAAGTTTCTTTAGATATTCAAAGATCTTTGCTGGTTTTTCTGTCCTCCACACCTCCGGTGGAGGCTGTACTAGTGGGTTATTATACAACCATAAACCATATTTCCGGAATTTGTCATAGCTATGAGCACACGTCAGACCTTTGAGTAGGTGTAGTTTCATGGGTAGAGCAGCTATACTGTTACCTGTTGCGTCTAGTGTTTCTAATCCAGACAGATCACAAATCTCGTCAGGAAGTGCAGTGAGTTTGTTCTCACATATGATAAGTGTTTTCAGTGTTTGTAAATAGCAGATAGACGAAGGGAGAGTTTGCAACTGATTTGACCCGAGGTCAAGTTCTAGGAGATTATGTAATTGACCTATGGTTGTCGGTACTTGCTGCAGTTTGTTGTTGCTAGCTCGTAACTTGATGAGGCTCTTTACATTCCCAAGTTCATCAGGGAGCGTCGCGATCTGATTATAGGACAAGTCCAAGAAGACAAGATGGTTAAGCTTGTACAAGCTCAAAGGAAGTGTCTGTATGAAGTTGTGACTTAGGTTAAATTCCCGCATACTGATGTTGTAGATTTCCATCAGGTTGTTGATCTTGGTATTCTCCAGGTCTAGAGATCTTAGTGCAGGTAGTTCAAATACAACCATAGGTATGTGTTTCGACTTGATTTGTCCTGTACTAAGGTAATTTTCCATGTATGTTTGGTCAACTAGCTTACAGAAATGACGATAGTCAAATGCCAGTGTGTGTAGTTTTGGCATTTCTGGGAGAGTTTCGGGAAGAGTCTCAATTTCGTTGCCCCACATCAGAATTTCTTCCAAGTCTTGGCAGTATGCTATTTCTGGGGGAAGAGTTGCTAAGTTGGTGTGCTTTAAATTTAAGCTAATCAAGTTTCCAAGGTTACCGATTTCTGAAGGTAACATGTTGATTTTGTTTCGACTAATATCTAGGACTTTTAAGCTGGTCAGTCGCCAAATCACCGGAGGAATATATGGCAGGTTGCACTCAGAGATATTTAAATCTTCTAAGTGAGTGAGATCTTTCATTTCCATTGGAAGACCAGAGAAATCATTCGGACGAGCACAACGAATCCCATTCTTACTGATGTCTAGTTTTTGTAGATTCTTCCATCTTTTAATGTCAGGTGGTAGAGTCCTCAAGTTGTTGTTGTTCAGATATAGCTCCCCAATGTTGGCTTCTGTTGTAGTAAAAAGAAAGAAACATTTTAAGAAGTGTCAACTATTTATTTTGTATTGGCAACTACATGTACTTATAATACTGGTAGGTTTTAAAAAAATCCTCTTGTATATTGGGATGTAGACAAATTTGAACAAAAACAACCCAGAAAATTTTCTATATATGCAAAGGTTTGGCAAATATATTAATAAATACATATGATACTGAATGATATAATGGAAAAAACATTTTATCAACCCAGTATTATCTGGGTTATCCATACGATGTAATGCATTTCACTCTAGTACATTTATATACTAAAGCAGTTTTATTTCCTGTAGAAAAAAAGTAATTCTTCTTTGTTTATCATTCTCATATTGTTTGTTCCTGTTCAGTAGGAAAAAACTGTTGTACAGTCATTTATTGCAAAAATAATAAAAAAAAAAAAAAAAGAGAAAATGGATTCCAAACCAAAATGTTAAGAAAAAAATCAGAAACCATCCAATAAGTCAACCAACGATGGACTTCAAATTCATCAATGATAACATTTCTGTTACTGGAAAACCTGATTTTGAGTTACTGGACAGCAGGATAATTGGTAGTGCAAGCATCATTTAGAAAATTTCAGAAAAGCAATGAACAAAATACAACTGGAAACTTTGGTATGGCTGAAAGTGAATTGTGTGTTCATTGTTAAGGATGATTTTGACCTATATTCATGCAACACAAGGTTAAGATATTACAGGTCATGTATCACAGGTCAAGGTCAGTTTATTGGGTAAAGGTTAGAGGACATGATATTTTCATCATCACAAACTTGAGTAACCTGAAATTGCCCAAACAATTGACATGCAGCAAAGATATTAAGGTCTGCCAGTTTCATTATGTGTAATAAACATTATTTTTTTTATTTTGGTAATTTTTTTCCTGGCATTTTCAAATCAAATTGTTGTTTTGATTAGTTTCTTCTGCTGAAGCAAATGACCATGCAGCAGCGACGACATCAGTCAATATTACCTACCCTCACTAAAGTCTGTTGAAAAGCTGTTCTCTTTGGGATATAAATTTAATAGAAAAGAAATACCAACAGTATGATTGTGTTATTCAGCACATAAATTAATTAGACTTAAAGTACATACATATTTTTATACACATTTTATCTTACTCTTATCAGAATGGAGAAATTTACTCAAAATAATGAAATCTAACACTACCAGCAGCTGATTCCTATCACAATTCTTCGAGTCAATGTCACTCTGACAGAACACTGATGCCTTAGCAAAAGGAAGAGTGATGGAGACTAAGATAATGTCACCAGCCAAGTATACCTGTATATGATCTCAGCCTGTCTAATGTTCTGTGGCTTCTCACCACATATTTATACTGCTGTGATAGCTATCTGGTGAGTAGCATAGTAATAAGCCTAGCCAGATTGTTTCCTTAATTAAGGATTTGGTTTATACTAGTTGTTTCTAGGCTGAAAAACATAACAAAAATCTCTTGCCAAATGTTACATGAGTTAGAGTTTGGATCATGTGGAATTGTAATTATATTCATCAGCATTCCTATCATATATCTCCAATAAAAACAATTGTATCTTTTAAAATTCTGATTACATCATTTAAAAACAATTTGCCAAAAAACTTAGGAAACATTTAACAGTATATAAGGGTGACACCCACCGTGAAGTAGACTAACTGGGACTACTGTAAGTCCTTCTCCTGTGAACACCTTCTTCTTTAGTCCAGACTCCGTTAAGTCTGGCACTTTCATAGTAACGGACCGTTTCTTTTTGGCTGATTTTGCAGAGTGATCTGAAGATGCACTCTTTTTGCTGCGTGATGGTGATGGTGATTTATCATTGCTTTTCTTAGATCGCCCAGATTTAGGAGGCGAGGTTGATGTTCTGCGCCGCGCAGACCGTGGTGGGGAGGCACTGTCAGACGTTCTTATTGTAGCTCTCCTGGGAGATTCTACTTGTAGACTGTCAGACTCAAAGTCGGACATCTTCTTGGCTTTCTGCAAATACAGAAAATATGTATTCCAATGGTAATTGATGAAATTTACAATGTATATGCATTATTAAACTTATCTTGAATTCAACAGATATGTAGCGAATGATCTCAATACATTAGATTATGATACATAAGGAATATATAATATGTGTTTATACTTATACCCAGGTAATACAGTGCTTGAGAGGCTTGGTGTGGCTTAAATGTAAAGTATTTAATAAAGTACTTAACTATCAGCAGATTTTATATAGTTCTACTAACTGAATTTGTGCTTTGCAAGATTACAGTTGAAATTCTTGCTAACCATCCTATAAAATTTACTTGTTTAAGTATGAATTTGATATCACTGGGATTTGGTTAGATCAGGGTAGAAAGTTTGATCTGATCTCATGACACATCAAATCACTTCTTAGTTCTATAACAGATATTTATATTACCAAGAGGTGTGTGCTGGCTGTAACACGTGTACATTATTTGTTAAAATAATGTCTTACAGGACCTTATTTTAGAGGAGGTTCAAGAAATCGCTGCTCTGTGTCGTGACTTCTATGAAAAAAATGCATCATTGTTTGCTTCAAATATTTGGTCTAATATCGCAAACTTGAACCATCAAAATAAAAGTACAGAATCATTTACACCTGATTATTTGGTTTGTGATGTTTTAGATGGATCAAGTATAAAGTTCAAATAGATTGAATTGAGTTTCTACTTGATATTAAATACTACGTGGTAACACCAGGTTAGCTTTATAAGATATATCTGACGATATCCTGTTTATAGAAAACAAATGATATACACATACACAATATCAAACCTCCTCACAGTCTCTGGCATAGTGATCTAGTCTTTTTGTTGCCAGTACTATAACATTGATATGTATTAATGTTTCGGATAGAAATTTGAATTAAACACTCTGGTTTAATGATTGGTAGATCACCAGTATAGAATATCGGAGTGTAGACAGTGTCGTGTGTCCATACTTAAAGCTATGGATTTTCTGTCAAACACCTGCCAATAAACTTCTGTATTTGTACTTGTACAAGTCTTGTTTTAAATATATGAATATTTGTACTTTATTAAAGTAGACAGACTGTATACCTGTACCAAAGGTCAAGTTACCTGTACAGGAGTGACCTTAGATTATAATAATGCAGTATGTAACACTGGCTAAATTAAATGAAGCAAATAAATTTTGTTCCACCTGCAGTTTAAGGTGTATTTCCAAATCTGTCAGTACATGAAAATACTTATGACTTTAAAAAGATTGGCAAGATTTGTTTAATCCTGTAGTTCTTATGCACATTGGAGACATGTATTGCTGTAGTATCACTGTACTGCTTGTATTTGTTACCATGTATTTCAAGTGAAAAGCTAGCAACGTTTTCATTCTTTTGTTACAAAACGTTATCACAGCTTTAGTGAATGAAAAAGCCTTCTGTTTATTTGACAAATTTGGGGATATAGGTACATGTATTACAAATGATATTTAACTCTTTGTAAAATTCCATTATCAATGTTCTGAAAAATCATTAATTTTGTGAGGGATTTGTTATTATTGATTTTGTGGTTTTTCCAAATCCAGCAAATGATAAGTCCACTTTTAGAATCATTACAAGTTGATTGATTGAGCACTATTATTAAGTCAAATGAAATGTCCATAAGATAGTAATACATGATTTTACAGTAAAGAAAACCTAAAATTCCCCTAATTAATTCAATGGTAGTCCTCTTTTCATTGTTTTTTCTAAAGATTTCTTGACTTACCAGATCTTCATTAAGAATCTCCTGGATTATACTGTGGTGAATGTTTCTAAGTATTGAGTTTACCAGCATACTGACAAATTTTCGTGCCAGAACCTTGTCTCCAACAATATCTTATCGGTGGAAGTGAGGTCTTAGTGAAGAAGAGAGTATAGAAAAGGTCATATGATTTATTCTTTGTGAAGGAGCCAGGTAATATCTGTAAAGCTTTGCAATGTCGTTATACACCCATAACACTGAAGTATCAATGGTTTCCTGCAATTTATTATTAGCTACCTGTGTGTGTATTCCAAACCGTATGGCAAATAAATGACATAGTTATACTACTGAAATACAAGCAGTGAGCACAGAAGGAAGTATACATAATGTATTAAGTTATATGTGAGCACAGAAGAATAAATTCATAATGTATAAAGTTATAAGTGAGCACAGAAGGATGTAAACATAGTGTATAAAGTTAAAAGTGAGCACAGAAGGATGTAAACATAGTGTATAAAGTTAGAAGTGAGCACAGAAAAATGTATACATAATGTATAAAGTTATAAGTGAGCACAGAAGGATGTAAACATAGTGTATAAAGTTAAAAGTGAGCACAGAAGGATGTAAACATAGTGTATAAAGTTAGAAGTGAGCACAGAAGGATGTAAACATAGTGTATAAAGTTAAAAGTGAGCACAGAAGGATGTAAACATAGTGTATAAAGTAAGAAGTGAGCACACAAGAATGTATACATAATGTATAAAGTTAAAAGTGAGCACAGAAGAAACTATGCATACTGTTTGTCATATCAATGTTACATCAAATGGCCTTCATGGCAATGCTGTATTAAATGGTCACAGATAAACCTATTTTTGTAATGCTAGTACATATCTGCAGTCATAAGGTGACAGAATTGCATGTAGGTGTTTGACTTGTAAAGGCTGGTAGTATCATATTACAATACCACTTGCTATAGGCGTGTCTTGGATTTTATCACAAAATTCAGGTAGAAACGAATGAGAAACATGCTTATAGTGTTAGTCATATATGGAAGTATTATATAATGGTATGTGTTTACCAGAAAAGGTATTAAATTGAATAAAGTGTGTTTTGCTTCTAGAATATAATCAAAGCTTTATATAAACTTGTAGAAACCTTTAGTATAAAGAGGAAACTTTGATCAACAACTTGTTGATATGCAGGTATAATCTCATTTTTGAATGGCTTAGTCTTCCCACAAAAAAATGTCATAGAAAACAAATTTACAAAGTTCTTCCAGAGAAGTAACATAAATATATAACACTACAGAACCCCTCCTTTTACATGGTTATTGTCAGCAAACCATATTGTCACAGACTTTTTTATGATATAAAACAGGTATGAAATTCTTCATTAAAAGTCTGTCTTTACCATATTTTGCAAAGAACAACCTATTCATTTTTAGATATGTTTAAAAATAATTAAAATAACTTTTATAAGTATTTTAGAAACTTCACAGACACAAGAAAAGCTTACAAGTGTGTATATTATTATATACTAACAAACAGGTATAAAATGTCATAAGTTTAGGATGAAATAACATTCCTGAAAACGTTTTATTCTATCATTCCTTCATCAGAAGTGTGATAAGTTTGTAAGTTTTTGTCAGGATTTCATTGACCTGACATATACCAGACAAAAAAACACGTACCTGAGATTTAGAAATGCCATTCTTGGTGTCCCGTTGTTTGAATGAAACATGTTGAGATCTCTTAAAGTTAGCACCTTTTATCATAATTCCTTTTTTTATCACAAACAACTTAAAAGTTCCTTATGGAATCAAAGAATTTGAAAACAGAACACTTTGTCAGAATTATATTTTCTCACAAAAAAACACATGTTCTTTAGAATTAAGAGGAAGCTCTGTCTTGTATCCTAACTTAGAGACAGGAAAGATGATGCCTTCCTTAGACCCTTTTGCTGGTTAACTGGTTAATATTCTTCTACTGCCCTGTCATCAATATTCCAATCACAATGTTATCTCCTCACACAATGATACTATGACTGTCACTTGGCAGGGATCATCAGCCAAATGGCCTTAAATCCCTGGTTGAGACTGTCCCTTTTTATACACTTTAATATAAAATCCGTGTTTGAATGGATGTGTATTGAGACGTAGGTGTTGCGGGCTACTTCTACAAGATTAAGGCGCAAGACTACAAGAGGTCGATAGGGTGAAATAAATGCTGCTCTCCCCTACTTTATAACATGGATTGGCTTGTAATCAATGATGGGGGTCAGCATTTATAAGATAAGGGGTGAAATTTGAAATTAAACGACAGGTAATTTTAGCTACTTATGTATACAGTATATAGCTGTTTATTGTCACGATTCATTAAATAAAATGTAGATTGGTTTTGGCAAAGTGACATTACTTATGATTTAAAAGGCCATGGTAAACATTTTAAAAGGTTTTGAGTTGACTTACATTTCTTCCAGGTTCTCTTTACTTGGTTTTGGTTATCTATGTACTGTGTTGTGTGCACTTTTACTGCCATACATAGTACACTGAAGTTCAATATTAATCTGATCAATATTTCTCTACATCAATCTTCAAATTTGCAAGTTTTGAAAGATTGACATATGACTGAACAACAGTTGAGTAATTATGGATCAGTCCATGTGCCTATAATGTCAACAATATTCAAACAATCAAACTTTTATGACGCAAAATCCGAGTTGGCTTATTACAACAATAAGAAAAAGAATTTATCCTGATATTGAACGATATGTATGGTATATAGCCTAGACATTGTTCAATAGATAGGGCAAGGAAGGTTCAGTCTATCCTCTATCTGTATAAAAACATGTTACATTAATTTTCAGAATGATTGAAATATATTCAATTCACCATTGTTTTCTGACACAAGTAGCTTAGTATTTAATGTAGACATGAAGAATAGCAGGTGGGGGGTGGGGGGGGGATGTTTGGTAGGAGGGTAGTTATTGGGGTGTGTGATTCATGTTCTAGTATATCATTAAATATATATTCTAGGATGCTGATGTTTGGTAGGAGGGTAGTTATTGGGGTGTGTGATTGGTGTTCTAGTATATCATTAAATATATATCCTAGGATGCTGATGTTTGATAGGAGGGTAGTTATTGGGGTGTGTGATTGGTGTTCTAGTATATCATTAAATATATATCCTAGGATGCTGATGTTTGGTAGGAGGGTAGTTATTGGGATGTGTGATTCATGTTCTAGTATATCATTAAATATATATCCTAGGATGCTGATGTTTGGTAGGAGGGTAGTTATTGGGGTGTGTGATTGGTGTTCTAGTATATCATTAAATATATATTCTAGGATGCTGATGTTTGGCAGGAGGGTAGTTATTGGGATGTGTGATTGGTGTTCTAGTATATCATTAAATATATATTCTAGGATGCTGATGTTTGGTAGGAGGGTAGTTATTGGGATGTGTGATTGGTGTTCTAGTATATCATTAAATATATATTCAAGGATGCTGATGTTTGGTAGGAGGGTAGTTATTGGGGTGTGTGATTCATGTTCTAGTATATCATTAAATATATATTCTAGGATGCTGATGTTTGGTAGGAGGGTAGTTATTGGGGTGTGTGATTCATGTTCTAGTATATCATTAAATATATATTCTAGGATGCTGATGTTTGGTAGGAGGGTAGTTATTGGGGTGTGTGATTCATGTTCTAGTATATCATTAAATATATATCCTAGGATGCTGATGTTTGGTAGGAGGGTAGTTATTGGGATGTGTGATTGGTGTTCTAGTATATCATTAAATATATATGTAGTAAGCACTTCAGCTACAAGTCTATAACTTTTTGTACAGCTATGATAATTCTAGTTTCTAGCCTAGGAATCGAACCAGGGACCCCTGGCTTACTAGTTTGACGCTCAACCAATCGAGTTCTCTCTAGCCTAGTTGTATATTGAGGCTAGTATTTTACCAGGGTTACCTACTCCCCCTCCAGAAAATACCTTGTCCTTGAGTTTCCAGGGGTTACAGTGATGCTGGTGGGGCATGGCTAAGTACTATTCCCGGGTCCCTACATAGGCGCCAATGTAACAGAGGTCATTATATATTTCAATGCCTCCACTAGGAATCAAACTTGGCTTACCAGTCTGACGCTCAACCAATCAAGCTAAAGAGAAGTTCTCTCTCTAGCTGAGTGGTATATTACCGCTAATACTTTACAAGGGTAACACTATCTAGGTGCTAATGGTAACTTGTAGCATGTATAACTCTGCTAACTCTAGTTTCTAGCCTTTAATTTGTATAAATGGTAACTCTAGCTACTAGCGCCAATGGTAACTTGTAGCATGTATAACTCTGCTAACTCTAGTTTCTAGCCTTTAATTTGTATAAATGGTAACTCTAGCTACTAGCCAATGGTAACTTGTAGCTTGTATAACTCTGCTAACTCTAGTTTCTAGCCTTTAATTTGTATAAATGGTAACTCTAGCTACTAGCCAATGGTAGCTTGTAGCTTGTATAACTCTGCTAACTCTGGTTTCTAGCCTTTAATTTGTATAAATGGTAACTCTAGCTACTAGCCTATAACTTGTTAAGCCTTCCTATGTGAGCTCAATGTTTATGTTCCAGTCTGTCATTTATGGTCTCATTTAAACTCTGTGTTGTAAGTACAGAGCATTCCATTGTAAAGTAGCAGGTGTCTGTCAGAGATTTCCAGTAGATAATTATTGCCATTAGCTATTGTTGTATTAAGTTTGTCATTAGGCGTATTGTTATTAGAGCAGGGTCTTATCATAACACATGACATTAACCTTTGGTGGAAAGCACGAGATGAGACATGCATACAGTACACAGTACAATACATGTATTTGAATAGACCTATAATTATACCGATGAAGTTTGGTGTTGGTTAAATTCACACCTATTAATTAGATCTTATAATTAAATCTTTTCTTGTTAGGTTGAGACCCAATATCCTGTTTTTACAACCTATCTTTCTTTTTCAGTTGCTTGTCAAGTATGTTTTCAACTAATATGCAATTCCAGTTTTTAAAAAACAATTTTCTACTGCAGCCTATTATCATTGCTCTGTAATATATAATCCTTGCTTTGCAGGCTGGACATCAGAATTGTATATGCATGCTACTGTCATGACATGACCGTAAGAACAACTAAAATTTGTATCTTTCTTCTTCCTGAACAACTTTTTCACTTCTAACACCTCATTTGACAATATTGTATAATTGATCAATGTCTTAAATGTTCATCCAAGTGAGGACAGTGGATAGGTTCTGTTACCAGATCTTAGTGGTAAAGACATGTTACCCTGTTGTCTGTGTAATGTTACCCTGTTGTCAGTGTGATGTTACATGGGTGGAATGTGATGCAGTGTCCAAGTTTCAATGTTTCAGTTAATACAGCCTGTTTTGAATTTAACGTTACCAGGTGGGGTGTCATGCTAATGTGTCTTAAGTTACAACATTTCAGTGTGATGACACTTTACAGTTTCCTTATAGTCAATATAATGTGACTGCATGGGGTGTCATGCTAATGTGTCCAAGTTATGGCATTTCAGTGTGATGACACTATAAAAGTGTCCAAATACTATGTAGTCAGTATCATGTGACTGAGTGGGATGTCATGATTACATACCATGTTTAGGTTTTAACATCCATGTGTGACCCAATCAGCCATGAACATTGTCTTCAGATAGCCCTAGCTGTAAAAAGACCAAACTTGGTTGGTCGTGTGGCATGGTGGAAATGCAATCATCTTTCACATTCACTTTCTCCTGGTATTCCAGTTTCCCCCCACACTAAGAAACCCACTTAGATTTCATTCCAGGCTTACAAGAGGGATTAGTACATGTATAAGCCTTTAACTTGTTCCTCAATTATTGTAAAACAGATGAAGTTTATATTTAAACAAGCGAAGTATAGTTTTTCATCACCAATTACAATATGTCAAACAGGGAGGATATAGCTTTAATAATAGCTAAGTATATAGTACATAATCCTTGGGTTGTAAGTGATCAGTACTTACTGGCCCAGACTTCCACTGTCCTAACATTGGCTTAGGGATTTGTGTCTGTTTGTTTTATGTAACCAAACTTGGGTATAATATTGACACTTTGTCTCTATAGGAGCTTTAATCTTGTGTAACACTGTAGACAATATACTACAACTAGACTACTTTTACAATAAAGAACTGATGTAGATGTTGTTCTAGGTCTGTTCTATCAGGGATCACATCCATACTTGATCATTACTTAAATAGAGAATACTCCTTGTTACTTGATGAATAACTGTTTTATTTCATGGGATGGGCCCTTTCATATTTTTCACAGGTGTGCATTTTTTGACACCTTTCATTGATGTCGGTTTAAATATACCTGCTTAGTCTTTATGCATGTTCGATTATCATTACTTCATCAGATGACAAAAAGTTTGAGACCAAAGTTTTCATACAACACTTGAAACACTCGTTTGATTAAATTCTGATTGAGTGTTAAAAATACATTACAGTAAATCAAATGTTTCCTGCCATTTAAGAAATAATGAAATATACATTGTAGATTTGATTGCAAAAATGAGATATATATATATACATTTCGGATGAATTGCAAAAGTTATGAAATAAATTATATCAGCTTTAAAAGTTTACTATTTCCTCTTGTCTCTTTGTATATTATTTTATTGCCATTATTTTATCAGTTGGGAGAAGAAACACATTTTCTAGAAGGTTTGTAACAAAGATTTTTACATTCCTTAGCTAAGTA